TGGGTTTTCTCATTCTATTTTCGTTTTCATTTCTGGATGAATATGCTGATTATATTTCGAGTATCAATCTAGTAATTTTATGATTTAAAGCATTTTGGGGTGATGTTACAACATACATACTGCTTCTGATTACAGGAAGCAAAGGACCTAAGGATGAAAGCAGATATGGTGAAGAGATTTATGGAGAAAGGTTACCGAGTGAAGGTACTTATTCCATTCGATTAAATAGTTTTAATAATCAATGGATCCATAACTGTTATTGTTAGTACGTGGTGTCATGAAATTATTAGTGTTTCCCTGGTAAAGGCATAGTCACAGCTTGCTCCTAGTCTTCGCTGCTGCTTTCTTTTGTTTCTTACTGTCTTTTTCTTAGACTGCATGCACTAACACTACAAATTGCTACAGTTACCTTTTGCATCAGAAAATTTCTATTTGACAATTCTATTAAGAATCTCACACCCTTCATTTGATCAACCAAAAAATACTCAAGATGGTCATTCACGTTATCTCCTTCACTATTATTCTAAATTTCCTGAAACCTCTGCATCAAACCTCAACTTTCTCTAACCTTTAGAACTTGAACTTGCAATCTTCTTAAAATTTTGCCTGCCCCTATGGACTTGTCTGCAGCAGATGCAATCTGTCCGTGCTGCCTAACGTCAAGATAGGATTGATGTAAAACTGAATTTGCATAAATTTCTCAATGCTATGATTCAAATGATTGTATATTCTCAAGGTTTATGGGTAAAAAGAAAAACACTTGTATAGTTTTGGGGAAAGGACTGCTCAGTTATCTGGGGCCAACGTTGCTTTTGTTTTCAAATCTGTATTTTGGGCCAAGGGAGGGGGAGATGGTTGGAGAGGGTTGGCTAGTTTCTAGGAACTTTCTGCGTTGGATGATGATTCTGTATGTACCGCTCTCTTTAGTGCAGGAGTTCAAGTGAGCTTTTGGCATTGGGAGAGATAAATGTTGCAATATTTTCATGGAATTCATATTTGCTATGGTAGCTACTGGCTTCTATTCAGGTTATCCTCAAATTGTGTTGTGAAAATAGAGAATTACTTAGCTTGTTCATTCACGAATTCTGTTGATAGTGAACTATGAATGCCGGATGGGGTTTGTTTAGCTTAAACTTTAGACGTTATTTTAACACAACAAACTTTTGGAAGAGTTTATACGAACTTTGAGATCAATTTTGCCCTCTGAAAGGAATGCCAAAAGCTAGATCATAAGCCATCCTAGAACATAGTACTGTATTCCTCACTAATTTATTTATTAGCCCATCTAGTTCATATGTATGCTTGTCAAACGCCTTGTAGATTCATGGGATAAGTAGTGTTGTATTTCCAAATACATCTGTTTCATGGATCTATCCACAAAATCCTTCAATTAAAGTAATCAGAATGAACTAATATTTACCTAATTGTGTTCTACATATCTGAAACAGTGTACCGCCACGGATGCTGAGGATAAGAACTTGGAAGCATTGTTTGCTCCTCTCACTGTGTTGGTATCGTCGGATACTCTTGTCATTGTTTTGTCTTCATTACTGTTTGTCTTCCTTTTTTCCTCCCACTCTTAACTGTACCGACCATTTGCAGATAGAAGATGTAGCTCTTGTTGACTGGGAGCCGACGCGGGGAAAAGGAAAAGAGGCATTTATAATCGTCAGGCATAGGAAGTTTGGCCCATCAAAGGGGGCTGGAAAGAAAACGAAGACTGAAGAAGAAACTACCACTGATGTTCAAATGAAGGGTAGTGAGGATGCAAATGCTACTACTTCACAGCGTGATATTCGGATAAATACAGTGCCTCAAAAAGCTTCATTGCAGTCAGATATTAGTGATTCAGGCTTATTGCATGCCACACCTACCAGAGCACACACAGTTCCACTGCCCCCGCGAGAATCTTCTGACGGGACTCAAAATAGGTACAAAAATGATCCAAGGAATCCTTTTCCACCAAGAGGAATGGATAATAGGCACCCTGGAATGAGAGAACCGAGGCAAGCTCAGACCAATGCACCTGTATTTAGAAACTCGACGCCTCCTCCTAATGATATCCCCAAGCAAGAACCATCGAGTCCTAGTGCTCCCCGTACTACGGGACCTGGTTATGGGATCTTTAGCAATCAAAAAGGTAATGCTCCTCCTAGACATGGTGTAACGGACAGGGTCCCAGCAAATTCAAACTCACCCAGTTCAAGACCTGATAGTAGCCAAAGACCAGGCGCAGGCATTGATAAGGTTGGCGGATTCGGGATCTTCAGTAGAGAAAGCTCTGGTGAGAGCCCAAACAGGACATTTAAGCCGAACTAAGGATGCTGAAATAATATTTAATATGTTTTGATGATTTTTCAGAAATATCTTACTGTATGGTGCTTACGATTATTAGTCATTGTATTAACCAATTATTTTGAGATGACGATAGAATTGATTTCTCCTTCAAATTCAAGTTTTTCTGCCTTGGATTGAAGGGGGGTCAAACGAATGTTCATCTGTCTATAATTTTTATTTACTTCGCTTAGTAAGCAGATTTTGCTATAGTTTTGGTATCCTGTCAGTCTTTAACCGACATTCTAAAGATTGCACGTTTATGTTTTCTGTAAGCTTTAGAGATGGCCAGTGTTTGAAAAATCGACCTAGGCGCTAGGCAGGAGGACACCACTGCAATTTCACCCTAATCATTAGGCGGCTGGGCAGGTCGGGTGGCTGCTTCTCTACTCATGAGAAAGAGGAAAGACAATGGAGGTAGAGAGAGATGGGAGGTGATGGAGGCGGAGAGATAAGAGATAAGTGAGGATAGGGTTCGTCCAAGAAAAAGGTTAAGATGGGGATAGTGAAACGATGTGTTCGACTTATGGGCTTGGGCCCATTTACTAAAACATAACCTAATTATGTTAGCCCATATACTAAAACATAACCTATTTGTGTTTTTATTTCAATCCTCTGATTTATATCAAAGTATATATCATATGACTCACATATGTGCATTCTTTAATATTAAATTTGGTATAAATTTATAATTTATAATACAAAATAATATTTTTTATTATAAAAAAAACGCCTAGGCGCCCACATAGGTCTCGATTACTCCTCTAGACATGTTATATAGTTTTGGTACTGCATTTAAAATTATAGTGGTATTTTTTTGTTTTGTTTTGCTTGGATAACATCGGATGGTTTCACAATCTTTAATGTGCCAATAATCTGCAATTGGAGTTTTAAATCAATAAAATTATCAAGTGCATTCCAGATTATTTAATTTGAGTGGTTGGTGCATTCTCCTAGCAATTAAAATTTGACCAAATTATGATTCTAGTTGTTTCATTGAAATCCATGCAATTTCAATTGTCATGATTTAGTTCATCTAATTTACCAGTTAATGTAGTTGAAGGACGATGACTTAATTTTGATAAATATTTTTTGTTGACATTATTAACTTTTGAGTGACATATGTGAGGGTAAATTGCACTTGTTGGAGGTATAAAAACACTACAAGCATTAGAATTTGAAGTTAGTTGATTGTAGTTCAAGTGGTTAAAAGCAGTTATCTCTACACTTGATATCATGTGTTCGAATTTCTCTCATTCAATATCGTTTTTATAAATTAAAAATGAAAAATTCACTATTATACCCAACATATGGGTCTAAATTACTAAAAAAAACATACATTAAATGGACTTTAGAAACACATCCAAAGCTCATTTACAAATAACAAAGAGACATTGAACTTACCATAAATTACAAAATTGTCATTGATTTCTTAAAATGAGTCCAACTCCAAAACCTTTAAAAAAAACCTAAAACACTTAAAAGGGCATTAAAATAATTTAATAATAAAAATTAAATTCAACCGGGCCAGTTGTCATTTTTTGGGTTTGTTTCTAAAAATTAAATGATGCAGAGTTTATCTATATCACTAATGCTAACTTCTAAGAATGAGTATATAACTTAATATCTCATAAAAACACCCCAAAGAATTGAAAATGGGATCAAGAAAATTGGAGGACCAACGGACCCTTATGCTTTTTTTACATAGTGGATCCAAATCCATGTTATGTTACTCACCCAATTCAAAGCTCCGGACCCGGTTAAAACAAGCCAACCCACTCGGGCCGGGTCATATATATGACATGCCGCCCAAATGGTCAGCCCGCACAGTGCACTCACTTAAGCCCTAGCGCGAGCCCGAGACACAAACAGAGAGTGCAACACCACCATTAATCTCCAACTGTCAGCGCTCTCAATTTCAAGCTCGGACTTCAAACGCATATTCAGCTCTTCTTTGTCTACGTCTCCAATTCAACTGGTTCTTCTTGCCCGTCGTTCTGGTTCTTATTCTTCTTCTTGTTTCTACTCGTAGCTCACTGGAGGTAAAGATTTCAAGCTCGCAGAAAAACCTAAAACCTTGTTTGGTTGTTAATGAATTCTTGGGTTGGGAGATAATACAAGGAAAATTTGGACTGCTATTTTAGGTTTCCTGCTGTTTTGCGAACTGTAAAAAGCAGCTGATTTGACTGTATTTTACGAACTAGGTCTTGGGTTTAGTTGATTTGTGTCCTTTTCACTCTGGTTATAGGGTTTCGGGATTGGTAATGCATTTAAACTGGGGTAAAATAATGGTTTTGGTTACTGAGTTGTTGGAGGTAAAATAAATCTGGTATTTAGATGAATTATAGTTTAAGAGAACTCAGTTTATGGGAGATTTATGTTGTTAATCTTGTTTTTTGGGTTTGTATCACCTACATTTAGAAGCCTTGGCCTAGGTGTTTGTGGATACTATAGTAAGAAAATACAAAAGCTCTAGAGTTTGAAATGTTATTATTATTTTTCTCGCTTTGAATTTGGTTTACTTTCTGCAAAATGCAGGCTTAGTACTTATAAACTCATTGCTCTGTTTATTTATTTTTTGGGCAAATGGTTGCAGATATCAGCAGCATTAAGGTCTATCCGTGAGGTTGTTTTTTGCTGCGTTGTTTGATTAGAAGAAAGGTTTAATGGATTTCGACGAGTATGAGTATTTAGAGAAAACGGTTGAAAATCCGGAACCCCAGAAAGCAAAGGAAACTGCAAATGGTGGTGAGGAAACTCTGAAATCTGGAGAGAAAGGTCGCAGTCGAAGTTCAAAACATAAGAGTGATGAGAAAGGTCATGATGAGGAACGTCACTCAAAGCGTTCAAAATCTGGAGATGACTCACGTGAACACGATCATGATCGGCACAGAGAGAGGGGATCTTCTCGTCATCGCTCACGGTCAAGAGAAGTAGAAAAGGATCGCCACAGGAGTAGCCGGGAACATAGAGGTAGGGAGGACAGGGAAAGGGAGGAAAGAAATGGAAGGGAGAGAGACAGGGACAGAGACAAAGAGCGGGATCCTGATCGAGCCAGAGACAGGAGAGAACGCGACCGTGAGGGTGACAAGGAGGACAAGGACCGGGAGAAGGAGAAAGAGCGATCACGCCGAAGTAGGAGTCATTCAGAAAGGCATCGAAGTGATCGGGATGAAAGAGAGAGGAGCCGGGATGTGGAGCATAAAGAAAGAGATAAAGAGAAGGATTTAAGGGAGCGGGAAAAAGAAAGCAGGTATTCTTTAGATTTATATTGTTTGGCTTTTTGGCTGTCAAATTCTTATTTAGACTGCATAGTTTGTGTTTGGACCACTATCCTTTTTGGCACACTAGCATAAGTGACCATCCACTGGATTAATCATTTAAAGTTTGATCAGATAGCAAGTCATTGTACTGCATATTAATACCTCAAAGTATCTGCAATGAAACAAAATTTGGTCAATGAGTTTTGCTGTATGGAAAGTTCATTGGCTTCTTGAGTGAAAACAGATTAATTAATCCATCTTAAGATGATATTTTCTGACATTTTGTGCTGCTTCGTTGTTTTTCTCTTCTAAACTTGGACTGGATGACAGTAATTGTACTTTCAGAGGTATGAGAGAATGACACTGTTTCTCACTGCTTTACTTTCGGGGAGTGTGGATATCTATTATTAGCTATTGTTGTGTGCATATTTCTCTTTGTTCTCAATAGATTTAAACTATAGTTCTCGTGAAAGAGGTATTGCTGCCCTTTTAAAGTTAATAACACACAGGAAACATATTTATTTTTGGTTTTGCATTTAAAAGGACAACTCTTGGAATGATGCATTGACACCCTTCTATTTTCTGAAATCAGGGTGAGATATTGTAGTTGTAGCAGTTAAAGAGTATATTATGCTTTTAGTTGGGGATCAACAAATACTTAAGGGTGGCAAGCCTATATATGTTTAGATGAAAAACAGACCTCTAAGTATGTTTGATGCTGAGTTATGTACTTCTGGAATGTCTTGGACAGTGTGAGCAAACTCTGTTATTGGTTGATTGAATTTATGATTCATGGACCAGGCACTCTTCCAAAAGTAATGGTGGAAATAATTTGTGTAAATCTGTTGGTGAGGCTGCAGAGGCATTTACTGAGAATCCTTTGTCAGGATTTTGTTTGTGCAGTTCCAGTTGGCATGTGTGTGTGTATATGCGGCATATGCAAATGGGTAGTTTTCCCACAGGAGATACTTCGTGGGTTTCATAGGTGTTAACTGTGACAGGGGTATGTTAATTATTTCGTTTCCAGCTTTTCTCTCTCATTTGTACTTTCCATTTAGAAAGGGGGCAATTTTGGTTTGGGTGACCGATTGTGTTGCTATGTGCACTTTAATGTCAATGTGACAATTCGGAAAAAGGGCAGATGGTTAGGGTGGTGGTGTTTCTTTGTTATATGCTATATTCTTCTCTTTGTGGTGTCTCAGTGTCATCACTACCTATGTAAAACAAGAATTGTTTTTTTGGTTGTCATGAAGGCTATATTTGGGCTTCAGGCAAAACTAATGTGAAATTGCTAAATATGTTGAGTACTTGGTAGCCCCCCTTCTCTCTCTTTCCGTCTCTCTGTGAATATGCCTTGTTTGGTCATGCTTTACTTTTCTGGGTGGAAGTTGATGTAGGATTTTCTAGCTGGAAGTTGATTTAAGTTTTTTGGCCTCGATGTCTCTAGAACTGGAAGGCTGGCGAGTTGGTTTGAAATTATAGTATTGATAAGGACCTTGTGGATAATTTATCCGAAAAAAGAGAATCCTTTACATTACAGTAACTGTTTAAGTCGATGGAGACTTTGTATGCAGAAATATAGTGGCATGTGTCCAATTGTTGCAACTCAAAAATTTTTTTGGTTGCTAAGTGGTAAACTCACTTGATAGTGAACCAATTGTGTGCTTATTTCAAGTCTCCAATTCCCCAACAGTTTCCTGTTTGGTTTTTATGTTTATCCAGTCTGATTTGACATTGGTTCTCTGCTGGGTGTGGAAGTGTATCCACTTTGAACATAAACTCACCTTTTCTGTGCCATAGATTGTTATTATTGTTGTTATATATTTTTTTTTCAGTGTCAAATTTTTTCCACCCAAGTACTTTTTAAGATTGGATAAGTGGGTTCATGCTATTGTTTAATTGAATATTGACAGTTAGTGATACTTAAGCTTCATAAGTTACTTCTATTAACAGCCTTAGAAATTCTGAATATTGAACACTAGATTCTGGGAACTCGCAGATATGCTAGAGCAATCTTCAGATGGTCTTTCTGGCAATTGGGCCAGGCACAGCTCAGGTCATGGGTCTTAAATGTTTCTTCTAAACTTTCTGGACTCTATTTAGAAGCTTGCAATGCAAGAGTGAGGGTTCAATGTTGGAGTTTTGATCGCGGTGGTGATGTCATGTTTTGCTTTTCGTTATCCTCCCCCTCTGAACTCAGTTGCTTAATTATATTTATTCTGTTGCAGAAATGCTGGTGGGGGAGTGATGGGCTTTGCTTAGAGAAGCACCTGATCTTCTGATGCTTGTGGGAAATTCAGTGTTCAGTGGTTACAAGATTGGCTGTTATTTTCTTGTAGTATATATGTATAATTTAATTTTAACGTGATTGATTGCTTGCCCGTAGTGTTTAGGTTATAGATGACCCTCTGCAACCTTTGGAAGTTGTTTTTGTGATCGTTGGGTCTGGAGAGGACTTTTGTGGTTCTCCATTGCAAGCTTAGATATCTGCTACTATTTAGCCTAATGTGTCTGTGCATAGGTACAAACATGCATACATCCTTAAATATGTATGTACGTACACATAAATTAATACATATATATACTCAACTGCAAGCTTTTATTCCCATAATGAGAAACTTATGCAGATTGCTCATCTTAGAGGTCTCACCTTAAGATCAATATTGTGTTCTATTTTTGCAAGCTTTCTTATTGAGAATCATAGTTATAACACTCGCATCATTTTAACGTTATGTTTTGGTGTGACTGTGCAAATAGATATAGTCTGTGTTTTTAGTTTATAGGTATCATTTTGTTCTGTATGTTTGTGATTCTTTCACTGGAATAAAACTTCTAACAGGTTCCAGATAATTGCAACTAGGTCCTTTGGTACTGCCATCCATACAACTTGATGATGCTGTTTCATTTAACATTATATTGCTTATATAAGGTACAAAATCTGTTGTTAGTCCATCCTATGAAGTTGGATTGCATACATTACCTGCTTAGAATCAATGTTCCCATTTCACCTAATTGCCATAATGTACTCCAGATTGGTTCTATTTATGATTACGATAACAAAGGCTCTTATGGTCACCATCTACATACATTGGCAATTTCATTTTAACTTTGTGTAGTTCCCTGCAGAACTATGATTCATGGGTTCAGCCTTTACTCACTATTGGAGAAAAATTTGCTGCCATTTTGGAAATACTCTTTTATTCCTTTCTGTTTATCATTTAAGGTTGTTTTCTTTGCCAAATTGAGAGATTTTATCCATTTTGAGGATCCAAGGATATTCTATGTTTGATCTATACATGTGTTGTCTTGACATGTTCTCCCCTGGATTCATTTATTAATGTTTTGTCAATAATATTACAATTGTTGTCAATTTTTGGTTTCTCTTTTGCAGAAGACATAAAGACAAGAAGGAAGAAGTGACAGAACCAGAGGCTGATCCTGAAAGAGATCAGAGGACGGTATTTGCTTATCAGGTAAAGCAAATATGTTGGTGCATGCATTCTATGGTGTTATCTTGAACTTTCTATCTTTCACATTCTCATATCTTAACTATTAAGATATGGTGAACAACTTTGACAGATTTGTCTGAAGGCAGATGAAAGAGATGTATACGAGTTCTTCTCGAGGGCTGGCAAGGTTTGTACATTTCTCATTTATTTATCTCATGTTCATTTAAAAATCATAGAGGATGGTGGATAAAGATCTTAAACTATTTAGCTAAAAGGGACTTCTTGATATAAATGCATTATATTTTCACCTTCTACTCTCAAGGGCACCCTAACACTATCTGATGCAATGCTTCAACTAAACCAAATACTGGAAACCCATAATGTTTTCCATTAAGTGCTTCTGTGGATGTAATTGTTAGTATATTTCTGTGATTGTCTATCTAATAGCTCTGAATTGTGTATTTTTAGGTCCGCGATGTACGCCTCATTATGGATCGCAATTCAAGACGTTCTAAGGGAGTTGGGTAAGTTTTTCTTATGTCTTGGTGACAAAATCTTTGGATGGTTGTTAACAGAAGGTTCACTTTAACAATTACCCATTATGCAATGGTAGCGTTTAAGATGATGTGAGAGTCTTAAATTATCCGGTTGTTAATGAAAAAGTTTATATGGTTGTGTTGACAAGAAACCAAAGATTTCATTCTAAGGTTCAAATAAGACTATCCTTTTAATGTCGCTTGGTCATTTTTGGAATGGTTGGCAGTTCCTGCTTCCTTCTTGATGGCTGCATCTTCCTTGTTCCAACGTTTTCTTGTGCAGTACGAAGAATCATCACATCATTTACAATGTTCAAAATTTGCACCATCATCTTAGAAAGTTTACGATGATATTGATCACCTTTGTACTAAAAGCAGTACATATACTATAGGTTATTCTAGTTGGTCAAGATGATCAGATATCATATAGGACATTTTTCTTTCCCTGTTTTGAACTATGTGTGGAGACTCCAGTAAACTTCGCTAGTATATGCATCTGTATGTGGCAATTGGTTTTTGATTATCCAAGAGTCTAATGTTGTCTAGTTTGTAGGTATATTGAGTTTTATGATGCAATGTCGGTACCTATGGCGATTGCACTTTCTGGTCAGCCTCTTCTTGGTCAACCAGTGATGGTGAAGCCATCAGAGGCTGAGAAGAATCTGGTTCAATCAACATCTGTGGTTAGCGGACCAGGTGGGATGATAGGCCCATATTCTGGCGGAGCTAGAAGGCTGTATGTTGGAAATCTCCATACCAATATAAAAGAAGACGATCTCCGCCAGGTGAGTACTTTTCTGACACAGTTCTAATGTTGGCATCAGATAATGTACATAATCAAGCTTTCTGTTGGTTATGTAATTTTTTTTTGGTTGCTTTTGAGCACTTCTGTTCAGTTTCCTAATTTCGTCTTTGTAATTGTGAATATTTTTGCATTTTGACTTTCACCCTTTAATATGTGATATATATGCAGGTTTTTGGAGCATTTGGTCCTGTAGAACTGGTTCAGTTACCTGTTGACGAAACTAACAACTGCAAAGGTTTTGGATTTGTGCAGGTCTGTTTGACTACAACTTTCAACTTAAGCAGCCTGGATATAGAATAAATATATAAATGTTTGCATGCAGCTAGTTATATTAAGCCAAAGGTCAACCAACAAGCAATCCATAACATGGTTTAATTAAAACTTCAAAGACTGTTGGCATCCTTCAGTTCTGTTATTTATTTATATTTATTTTCAAGTCCAAATCCATGTAGGGGAAATTTATTAAAGGAAAGAAAAAGAAAACTGTCAACTGCTGGTTCGTTGTAGCTTGAGTTGGAATTTGAAATTGACTCTAAACAAATGCACACCTTTTGTTGATTGGGTCTTCTACTGCACCAGAATTTAAAAAGAGTCTAGTGTATTGTCTTTCAAGTTTCTTCCCAACTCAAACTGAGAAGAGTGGGCACCAACAACTTCCAACTGCGAAATCCTTAGCTAGGTGCGGGCATGGGTTGGGTTAAGGGTCAACCCATCATACAGTTTCAGGTTACAATATTTTAAAACCTGAAGGGCCAATGAAATCAAGTTGGGTTGGCGATGTATTTTTTCCCTTCCTTTTAGTTCAATTCCATTCCAGTTGTTCTTATCAGATGCTGGATATGATTCCTTGTCATTGTATTGAATAAATCAAACTCATTGAATCAGTTGCTTGCAGTTCTCACGTCTTGAAGATGCTAGAAATGCACTGAGTTTGAATGGACAATTGGAGATTGCAGGTCGACTTATTAAGGTAATGGCACTTTATTGTTATTATATTTCTTCCTCCAGAAATATGCTTGCATTGTGTACTCTTTCCAAGTTCATCAATTAGGTTGTGTGTGTTACTGGTATGTTAGTTCCTCTGGTTAATTTGGCGATGCTTTTTTGACACGGCATGTATTTATTTGTTGTTGGAATTTTCTGTTGCTGACTCTGTTCAGCCTTTCATTGTCCAAATGGATTATACAGTGTGATCACTGTAAGGTAGCAAAACCCAGCAGGCCTACTGTGCAATAGTGCATGAGCTGTGGTTTTTGTTAATGCGCACATTGAGTAGCATGTAGTTGATGTGGTAAACTTCTCATAATGTGCAGATTGTTGTAGCACGTAATTTTACCGATAACTACAAGCACTAGTTGATGATACTATTAGTATCATGGTCTTAAATAGTTATTGTGGTATTTCCGGAATAGAAGCCGTTTTGCTTTTGTGTTTTGAAATATTTGAATGTGTTGTTTCGATGTGTCACCAACTGCTATCATTCTGAGATTTATAGGGTGGATCAGGGTTGCCACTTAGAATGATGCTTTAGATTCAGGTTTTCAGAAGTCGTTGCATTGTTACATAATTGTGCATCCTTATGGTTTCCCAAACGGATGATTTTGCTTAAAACCATATATTAAGTAATTTGGGAGTTCATCTACCTGTGTCCTCATTTTTCTATTTAGGTGTCAGCTGTTACAGACCAAGCGGGAATGCAAGATCTTGGAGCAAATGCTGGTGATTTTGATGACGATGAAGGTGGTGGCTTGGTGAGTAAGATCTTTCCTTTTATTTTTTTATTTTCTATTAACACAAAGAATTTGTGGACTGATATGATTGCTAAGAACTGTTTGCTCTGGCTGAGTAATATCTGGGAATAATTGTTGAATGCATGGAAGCTGCTGCTGCTCCATTGCTTTTAAGCTTTTTTGCTGCTTGATGCTTATGGTATCTATAGTTGGTTCGATTGGCTTAGTATCTTTTGTGTTTATTGTTCTATTATTTATTTGAGTAGATATATATTTCTTACTTCTTAAATGATTAGAGTTCATTCTCCTAGGTGAAAAATGAGGTCAAAAAATAATTTGAACTACCATCTCTTGCACTCCTGCCAGCTTTTTAACCTTTGATATTGGAAAGATTGCTCATTTAAGATTGTTTTTTTTTGCTAGCAGATTATTGAAGTTGAGCTTGATAATTCAAAATAACATAGCATCCATGAATTTTGTATTCATTTTATTGGTTTGGGCACTTATCCCTCCCTTTTGCTTTAACTAGTAAGATATGCATTGTCTCTCAAGGCATTGCAGACATCAGCACTGCAAAGCCAAGGGTGATAGTTTGGCATAGAAAGAATGTCTGCACTGCATAATTTTTGTTGTTGACCTGAGTGAAGGTGATTGACGTATTGTTTTATTAATCTTACAGTCATTGAATGCCCGCTCTCGGGCAATTCTCATGCAGAAATTGGATCGCAGTGGCTCTGGATCAGGGTTGGTATTTTCTGAGCACTTTATTCTATTTTGAATTGTTTTAGTTGGTCTTACATTGGCTTTGTATGCAGTATTGCTGGTCCCCTAGGCACTCCCGCTGTCAATAGCCCCGGTGTTTCTTTACCAATGGCACTACCAACGGCACCACTCCTGGGAGCTGCACCAGTGGTTTCTCCTCTTGTTCCACCCATCACCGCTGTTCCTGGTATTGCTGGACTTGGTGTTGCTGGTCTTCAAATTCCTACTGCTACTCTTCCTTCTATAGATACAATTGGTGTTCCAAGCGAATGTTTACTGTTGAAAAATATGTTTGATCCAGCAGTTGAGGTTGGTGGTGGATTCTTCTGATACTGAGAGATTTTCTTCATTCCCTTGGTGGTTATATTATATAATTTGTCTTCCTTTTTGAGCAGACGGAACCAAACTTTGACTTGGACATTAAAGAAGATGTTCAGGAGGAGTGTTCAAAATACGGGAATTTGAGGCATATCTTTGTAGACAAGTAAGCTTGTTCGCATTAGTTATGTTGTCCTTTGTCTCTTGCACATGTCTGACTTGCATTCATGTCAATGAGCAGGAATACCGCTGGTCATGTGTACTTACGATTTGAGAACACACAAGCTGCGATAAATGCTCGGCATGTTCTCCATGGAAGATGGTTTGCCGGAAAGATGATTGAGGCAACGTTCATGGTACTTACATATGTTTGTGACTATATATATATATATATATATATATATATATATTTCATTTTGGAACATCTCGTTTAAAAAAATATATTTTCATCTTTGCAGTTGCCCCAGAACTATGAGGCTAAATTCCCGGAAAGCAGATAGGATTATTATATGCAGTATTGGAAATGTAGAAAATGTAGCTGGTAATGCCTGTTGGTGGTTAGCCTTTTGGGTCCAATTTTCATGTGAGAGAGTATTTAATGAATTATCCTCAGGGCTTCTTGTGTGAGAAGAAAGAATGTCACGCTCAGTTCAGCATTTGGAATTTGTTGATGGGTCAAAAGTTAGATGTACATCAACTTGAAATTTTTACCGCCAGGGTGCCATGTGAATTTACAGTTACAGATATGGGTTTGTAGACTTATTGATGTTCTCATTTGTCAACAACTTTCAATGTTATAATATTTGTCTGCACTAAACTGCCTCATAGAAGGATTTCATATATTTGCAAGATTCATCTCACCTGACCTACAAA